TTTCCCCGTCAAATACATATACGTCGTTATATGCAAGCAGATTGTACTTTTGCTCACGCTTAAAGAATGACCCTATTCGGTATAATAAAAATGCACTGTGTTTTTTTTTATTACCGTCTTCCTTGGAAGACGGTATTGTATAGTTGAAGTTTTTTACAGTCTTCGGACTATGCACTTCCTCTCTTTTGTGATTGGTAGAAATTGCATGATGAGAAAATTTTCAATTATTTCATTGGTTGAAATTCTGTTCAAGGCAAGGGAGATAACTTTCTGATGATCTATTTTTCGTACGACTTAACAATTTTGCAAGATTTCCAATCTTAAAAAAGTGACAAAACGAACAACAAAATCAGCAGTAATTATTATGTTCCCCAAACGAAGTTGGGGAACATATTGTTTTTACTCTGTTTCTTATTATTATTATTATTATTTTTCTTCTTCCTGGGAAAATCTTTTCCGCGAATGATCTTGTAAACTACACGTCCGACTTAGGTGAAACCTTTTTAGGGTCAGTAGGCATGTTATGTAGATTTGCGGAACGAAGGTCATTTTGCGCGCACGTGCTTGCAAGAGCGCGCACGTGCAACGCGTGAAATGACCAAAATAATAGATACAGCCGTAACTTTTTTTATTTTTTGATAAAGTGCTTTGATACTCATAATATAAGTATATATTCTAGTATAGACGTGTTGACATAGTCAAAATAGCAAGATCTCACGCGCATGCACGTGCGCTTCGCTCTGATTGGCTGAAACTAAAGTCTCAATATCTTTCTTGCTTTTCGTCATAATCCTTTGAAATTTTGAACTTAGTCACACAATACGAAGATCTACAGCTTGATATATAATAATTTTCATGAAAGCACGTACATGCGCGTGTGCTGGCAAGAGCGCGCACGTGCAACATGTGAAATTACAAGATAATGGATAAAGCCGTAACTTTTCTATTTCTTGATGGAATTTTTTGAAACCCACAATGCATGAATAAAGTAGTAGAATGGACAAGATAACATTGTCAAAATTGCAATATCTTACGCGCATGCACGTGCGCTTTGCTCTGATTGGCTGAAACTAAAGTCTCAATATCTTTCTTGTTTTTTGACGAAATCTTTTGAAAATTTGAACATAGCCATGCATTAGGATATCCTACAGCACGATGTATAGCAAATATCATGAAAACACGTGCATGCACGTGTGCTGCAATCTGATTGGCTGAAACTTTAAATTGCTATAACTCTTGATTTTCAACCAAACAGGATGGGATTTGGAACATAGATATATATAATGGACTTCTACAAGAAGATATGGTAAACATGCACATGCATATACGTGCGCTGCAATCTGATTGGCTGAATTTTTAAACAGCTATAACTCCCTTGGTTTTCAACCAAACAGAATGGGATTTGGAACATAGATATATATAATGGACTTCTAGAAGAAAGTATGGACACCATGCACATGCATACATGTGCTTGTACGTGCGCTGCAATCTGATTGGCTGAAACTTTAAACAGCTATAACTCCCTTGGTTTTCAACAAAACGGGGTTGGATTTAGAACTTAGATAGATGTAATGAACTTCTCCAAGAAGGTATGGTCACCATGCTCATGTATGCACGCGCGTGCACGTGAAATGGGTAAAATCAAAATACACTTGAATGAGCGTTTTTTAAATATACTTTTGAATTAAATACTTTGATATTTAGCATATTAGAATATATAGATTGTGTATACAATATGATATGGTCATTACGCACATGCATTCACATGCGGAAGTATGCAATGATAAAATTTGAATAAACATGGTACACTTCTGGGTAAACGTTGTTAAAGACTCCAATACATAGAGTTTGTCTTATTTAATTACGCTTACAGGGAATATGACTATAAAAGGGAGTTGCGGAGCATTTGGGGAACATCTGTAACGGTCCCCGTTACAATTAGCACTAGTTTCTTAATAACATGATATTTTTTATAGCAATAAATAAAAAGGTCTCTTTAATTTCATTTTAAATAAAATTTGATAGTAATTGCTTGCAGGCTGTACAATTTGTTATTATTCTTTTCCCCTTTCTTGTTTGAAGAGTGAATGGGAATCAGCCGAGGTTTGCCGAAAGCTCTCGGCCAGTCAAAGTTTACGGAGATGACCGAGCGACAACCGTGGTAGGGCTAATGCCCGTAAAAAGCTAATTTAGAAATACAAAATCAAGAAATTCAAAAGAATTATACGGCCTGTTAAGTGTAGATCTGTTTACTGTTTAAAATTGTTGCTAAAGACGGTAAGCTTTTTTGAAAAGCTCTACTTGTTATACCGAATAGGGTCATTATACACTCTTATACATTGTTTTTTGATTGAAAATAGGGGAGGGGGTATTATCCATACTTCAGGTGCCAGTGATTTACTTCAGTGATTCGTTATCGGCGACCTCAGTGTACATAGTGCATTTTAGATTTAAAAAGAAAAAAAAATGGAAAGATGGGGGGTCCATACCCAAGGTGCCCCTGTTCAAAACACAGTTCAATATACCTGTATTCTATTTTTAGATCACTGAGTTGTCAAACCGGTTATGGGAACTCTCCTGTGTGGGAAGGAAAGAACTTTCATACCTCACCCAAACAAAAAGTTGTTCGGAGTTCGTGGAAAAAAGTGTATATTTTAAGTGAAAATATACTCGACCACCATGGATCGGGAGGCGGAACATCTGCCTGAGTACAAGAGGATGCATCATCTGACTTATCGGAGGAATTGCCGCGTGGTGACTGTCGTCTGGGCGATTTTCTCCGCCTGTTTTGTGATCCTCAATGCTGTGGCATTCATTCAGCCCCAGTGGTTAGGAGACACGGAGACATCCCCTGGGGTTGGGTTTTTCGGTCTCTATGAGTACTGTGAACGTCTTCAGGTGGGAGGAGAATACAGCTGCCGGGGAGATTTCTTAGACTTTACCTCACTTACTAATGACTCCTTTCGTGCCGCCAGCATGCTTGTGGGTCTTTGTAACCTTTTGTTTATTTTTTCTGTCGTCTGCCTGCTTTTGTTTTGCTTCCTGAAAGCAGCCACGGTTTTGAGAATTTGTGGAGTTCTACAGGCGATCGGATGTAAGTGGTTACCAATGCGACAAATTTGATTACTAGTTAAACAGTTTGTTGATAAAGTTTCAATAAAGTAAGGAGGGTGTGTGGGGATTATGGGTAATGGGTTCGTTCGCCCGATATACCCGTTCGCAGGAGTACGTTCGCACAGAGTCTGTTCGCCTGAAATATTTTTCGCCCAATTTCACGTTCACCCTATATGTGGTTCGCCCAGTTATACATATATATACGTATAATCAGGTCCAGGAAAATCACTATATTTAGCTATATAGCTAAATCTACCTATATAGCTTTATTTACCTATTTAATATAGCTTTATTTAGCTATTTCAGAGTAAATTTTTGTTTTATGAAAAGCAGACAAAAAGTTGCATAATGAGGCAATATTAGTTTTCAACTTTGAAATGGACTGAAAACAATTCACCAAAAATCCACTTATAAAAATGTTTCTCCTTTTGTGCAATAGCTATAGCAATCAAAGATCTAAAAGTTTAGGGGCTATGTATAACAGTTAATCTGTGAGTAAGCAGCTAGTCTTTAACAAAGAAAAGCAGTTTTGGTCAACAAGATAATTGATTGGTATTAATTGAGCACAATGCAAGGCAATCACACTTAGTCATGCCTCACCGCACTTCCAGCTATCCAAACAATAGAGATGCATTTTTTTGGTTAAAAAGTGTTTAAAAGAGGCAATGTTTTTACTATCTATGCTCTAGGTTGTTTTTATCAAACCTTTTTAAAAAAAATATCAGCCATAATTTACATGCGACTTTTTGTCTGCTTTTCATAAAACAGAAACTTATTCCAAAATAGCTAAATAAAGCTATATTATATAGGTAAATAAAGCTATATAGGTAGATTTAGCTATATAGCTAAATATAGTGATTTTCCTGTACCTGGTAATATATAAACTCATATGAATTAAAAAATAACATATATCTTTTCTTTCTATTTATTTCCTTTATGAACTTGGGATAATTTTTCTCAAATTCTGAGAGGGGAACAATGTTTTTTTAGTCTTAATTAATTTTTGATTTGATTCTAATGTTTTTTGATTGACTAAGTGTTGTGAACCAATGACAAGGAAAATGTCTTTTCTTAGAGTTTATTTAACAGTAGTGAAATTATTAGAGAATACAAATGATGATCGTATAGTGGTAAAGAGCAAAGATATACCGAATATCGCCGTAGATAGTATTTATAATGTACAATACATAAATGGCTCGTGATCGTATAGTGTCTCACGATCCCTCCTAGAGCGTTGCTCCGAAGAGCCCCGCTCTGAGAAGTGCAGCCCAGATGAGAGCAAGAGAGTGAGCGCTTCGTAAAGTAAGACTGTCATTTTATAATGTACAATACATGATACTCATTTACATATGAAACAAACAAATCAGATTCAAGTAAACAAGTTATACAATAAACTTGGTCAAAATCCTAGAACTTTATAAAATAAATTATACAAAATGTAATATAAACATAAGCTTCAGTTCAGTGTCCTGGTATTGTGCAAAAGTTAATATAATGGTAACGAAAGTAAGTTTTTGCAATGTCCGTTACTGTTCCTGTATTGATGACCGAAGATAGATAAACATCCTGGTTGATTACAGTGTCCTTAATCCGATTAATGGGTTTGTTTACTTTTACGGAAAGGTATTACACTTCTACTTCCAAATAGAATTATAGGTCAGTGCACTCTATCATGAGTACATATTAATTAGCTTATTTTTATTTTCTTGTTTAAAATAATTGTCTCAAACCCTATAGGTTTAAGTGTTTATTAGGGGGATACATCTGTGTTATTTTTACAAATTGCGCTAGGCCCTATGTTTTGAAAACAATTAGGACTGAGACCTTAATAGGTCCATTTGGTTTAACCTTTGAAGAATCTCGAATGTACCAAAAATTAGGAAAGAAATTCGTTACATTTTATTCTACATTAAATAAGGGCGAACGGACCCTGTGCGAACAAGTTTTAGGGCGAGCGGACTCTGGGCGAACGGAAATCGGGCGAACAATTTTCAGGGTGAACGAACATGGAACCGGGATCATGTATATACATGTAAAACCACTGGACATAAGTTTCAGTCACTAATGTCAAAATGCACAAATGGTCGTAAAAGGTATCACAGTTATATTTGGTCTTGTTTTTAGAGATGGTATCAGGATTTGAAAATTTGTAAGAATAAATATCCAAATAAGTGTAAAGTTTCATGTTACGTCACGATCTAGTTGACAGCTGCACGCAAGGTAAATTGTACACGCCTCCTAACCGCAAGCTTTACGACTGGGACTTTCTTCTTGTACCTGATTGGTTGCTCGTGCAACAGACTATTTCTGTGTCAATGTTGATAATTTGCGTTGACCAATCACGTGTAGTTTACGCTGGATGCATCTGACGAAAAAGATCGTGACGTAACGGGAAACTATACACTTAGCTGCAAACTCTAACATTAGGTGATGTTAGCATATGTACAATTAGATCAATCTCTTTTACTCTAGATTTTCTTTTCAGTAAGATTAACAATATAATTACAAATGAAAATGAATCAAACTTGATCTGCAAAAAAAAATAAATTATAAACACGATCATTTGGCCCTATCCTCCCCAAGGAGCAAACGGGAATAATTAAGTCAAAGTAATTCAACACGATCATGATGATATGATTAAAGTCATAGAAACTAAGAAAGTCAGGAATGATAATCCTGGATTGCTAGATGTTTTTGGGGGTTGTTGGAAAGGCCTGGGGAGGTGCGATTGTAGCTTAAAATTATATTCATTTTAGGTGTGTGCATGGCTCTGGGGTGCATTATCTACCCTAATGGCTGGGACGACGCTATGGTGCTGAGGACGTGCGGTAAGGATGCTGGGAAGTATCGCGTGGGGCAGTGTCAGGTCCGCTGGGCGTTCATCCTCTCCATTGTCCTGATCTTTGACGCCATTGTCCTCGCTGCCCTGGCGTTTATCATGGCGTCCAAACAGGCAAACCTTCTACAGAAGTCTGAGTACCGCAAACAAAAATGTAAGTATCCAAACAAAAGTAGGTCAACTTGTTGTGTTTCAAGTATTCTATATATTTAAATGTGTTTACTATGGGTCTGTCTTGGTTAATATGGTTGTGTCATAAGAATGGTAACCGTGACAGGTGTTGAAGAAATGGATCACAACGAATGATGGTTTTGGTGAAATCTGACAATTAAGTGTTAGTAATTTAATATTCATGATCAAATTATATTTAGCAAATTTAAAACTTCATAAGTTCATGTCAAGTTTTCAAATGGTATGTCTATAGCAATTATATACTTAATATTAATTGGTGTTAAATTAATGAATACAGAAATACCAAGACAGATGCATATTAAACTGTATATTCATATATACCAATATATTAAAATTTAAATATATGTTTGGGTTATTTCAGTGTGCAGTGATTCAGATATTGAAATAGAATTTTAAAAATAGAAATTCTTTTATTCTAACAAATACATATTTATGAAATATAATGTGCAGTGTATGATAGTGTTCTTTTTTGTGCTGGGTTGTAGCATAAATTTCACCTTTCAGAAAAATTCAGCTAATCACAAATTCGACAAGGATAGTTTATACATATGAGTACAGAGTAGAGAAATCATGAATCTTATAATTGAGAGTGTTTTGTGAACATTTGATCATGTTGATTAAAGGTAAAATTGTAGCAAACTTGTAGTTTTATCTTTATAACATGCTTAAGAAAGCAGTTACCTAAATCCAATTTTTAGAAAATTGAGAAATTGATTTATCTGGAAAATTTTGAATACTTGTGTGCATTGATTATTTTCTTGCAGATTTAAAGTAAAAAAAAATATCTAGAAAAAGGTATGACATAATACTAATTCTCTGAAAATTACTAACAATTATAAACCCGCATGTTTGTAGTTTAGTATCTGATGATTGTCAAGGAATCCTTGAGTCAACCATCTTTTCAACCTTTTCTACTAACAAAATACATGTACAACTAAGGCCTCAACAGCACGTCAATGTGTCAGAGGAATATTGTGTACTCAATGCATGGTTAACAGGAATATGATGTTAATTAGCTTTAGAAAAATTTAAATGATTTTAAAAAAGGGATTTAACAAGATGTGTTTGTGAAACACAATGTGCATGGTAGCAACAAAGTTCCAAAAGCCTATATCTAGCATATTGACCTTGGTGTCTTTTGAAAGAATTTAATTAGTGGAATATGCATACTAAATATGAAGTCTCTATCTCGTATGGTTCAAAGGTTAAGGCGAAAAATCAAAAAAGTTATTTTAGCATATAGGTCAAAGTCAAGGTCACAAGGTCATTGACCTTGGTGTCATTTGAAAGAGTTTAAGTAGTGCAGTATGCATACTAAATATGAAGTGACTGTTTCTATCTCTACGGTTCAAAAGTTATGGCAAAGGTTAAAGTTGACAACAGACTGATAGACAAACAGACAGACCAGACAAAAACAATATACACCCCAATCTATTGATCCGGGTGCAAAAAAAAAATGTTCATGTCAATATAATGTGTTCTTGATTTAGGATGTTTTAGTACAGTCAAACTTTATTATCTAAAATTTGGTTGGAAAAAGAAAAAAAAAACTTTGAGATATCACAGGATTTATTCCAGATACCAGGGATAAAATGCATAAAAAAGAGAGGTTGGGACTTCCAACTGTCTTTATTATATACATATATCCAGAGTTCAGAACACCAAGTTTCAATAGTATATTACAGTAAAACTCGTTTAGTACGAACATGGATATAGCGAATTCACGGATATAGCGAAGTTTTTCTGGGTCCCCGGCAAAATTCTTAACAAATCCTTGTAAAATTTTACGGTTATAACGAACTCTGATATAACGAATATACGGATATAGCGAACTGATTTTGAGTCCCGTTGATGTTAAATATAATGAAATTTACATCTTTTATAACGAACTTTCAAAGATTATAAAAAAAATTGATAAATGAAACTGACTTTATTTCCTTTTAGCATTTGTATATAAAATTGAATTCATAATAAAACCTTAGTTATCGAAGATATGTTTTGTAATATTTGCTTCCCAAACATATTTTGTGGTAATACCTGAAGGAAAACATGCATATTGCGAATTCGTTATAATAGTTTTACGAATTCGTTATACGGATATAACGAATTACGGATATAGCGAATTAAATTCACAGGTCCCCAGGACTTCGCTATAACCGAGTTTTACTGTATATTTCTTGACTTGTTTGTTTCATCCTGATCACAGCTAGGTTGTATCAGGATGAAAATTTTGTCAACTTGCAAAGTTAACCCGAAAAATATCTATATTAGGAAACCCCAAAATCTGAAATATCAAATTTTTGAAATTTAGAATACATAGTGGACCTCATCAGTTGACAAGTGATGCTTCCTTGTCTGTGGCACCTGATTCCATTTCTGATTTTTTGAGGTCTGTTTATGTTCCCGATTAGTATTGATTGGTGGACTTTTGAGCAGAATTACAGACTGTGATTTTTTGGATATCTCAGATTTTAGTTAGTTCATCACAGTATTTCCACCTCACACAGTCTTCTTTTTATTACATTTACTCATCAACTACAGTCAACTGGATAAAATCAGTGTTCTAAAAAGCCCACTATCAAGACTTTATATCAACACTTCTATTTTCCCCTCACTTTTCATTTAACATAATTTGACTAAAGTTTAATGTCATCTTTTTATCTTTATGAGCTTTCTTAATTTTGAAACTACATGTGTCACTATCATTTCAAGCATTTTGTTAATGATTTACTATTTGAATAATATCTATTTATCATGTTTATTTGTAACAAAAACAAATCAGAAGTGTCATTTATTTTGTAATTTGTTTGAATTAAATTTTTTTTTATTACTAGTAAGCTTTGTCAACTTTTAATTCACATGTTTGACAATTCATCATTTGTCATGATAAAATATTAATATTTTAAGCATGATGTTTGCATTTTTTTCCCAGTCTTTATGTTATATATATGTATTGCTTAAGGTTTTTATATTCAGCATGCCATTAGTGATTCGATCCATTTGAACATTTGTTTGATTGCGGTTCTCGAACCAGATGTTTACAAGATAATTCAGTTTGGTACATAATAATGGCTGTTTGTCTCTGTATTAATAGTTCAATGAATGTTTGCAATGTCTTTGCATGATCACATGCATGAATGTACATTACTGTTACAATGTATTCTTTATATGTGTTTTAATAATTTGCTACTGTAACAATAGTTTGGAAATGACTGTTTGCACATTCAATCTTTATTGACCACTTTTAGGATTACTATTACTATTGAAGTACTACTTTCATGAATTGATAAAATGATACTTTAATAATAATTGAAGACCAGAGATGATGTTCATGAATTTGAGCAACAAATATGAGAACCTTTATAATAAGCACGTGTATGTTTATATATGACATAGAATTTGTAGAATTCTGGCACTTTGCTAAATGATATATGACTATAGGTATATACTTGCATGAAGAAGAATTATCTTAATTTATCCAGATAATTATAGAGGCCTTGGTGACTGCACCATTAACTTCTGCATGTTCACCACTGTCAAGTCACCGCCTCAAAAAAAGTGTTGAACTCCATTTTTTAGGATGTCCAAATTTATAGTTCAGGACTGAGACTCCCAAGGACCATCATAAAATTACTAGTAAAGAGCATTTGTCAAAAATGAAATGGTACAAAATGTCCCATATATTCTATTAATCAAAGATTTCTTAGCAGTATTTATGAATTAGTGCATCATTGCTTTTACCGTAGGGGCTAAAATATGAAGATTGCTTTTTTTAAGTACACACCTTACTTGAGGATAAAAAGTAATCATTACAATCAATTACAATTACCCATGCCTGATTTATATGTTTTTTTATGACTGCACCATTTACATCTGCATGTTCACCACTGTCAAGTCACCGTCTCCAAAAAATTGTTGAACTCCATTTTTTAGGATGTCCAAATTTATAGTTCAGGATTGAGACTCCCCAGGACCATCATAAAATTACTAGTAAAGAGCATTTGTCAAATATGAAATGGTACAAAATGTCCCATATATTCTATTAATCAAAGATTTCTTAGCAGTATTTATGAATTAATTAGTGCATCATTGCTTTTACCGTAGGGGCTAAAATATGAAGATTGCTTTTTTTAAGTACACACCTTACTTGAGGATAAAAAGTAATCATTACAATCAATTACGATTACCCATGCCTGATTTATATGTTCTGATTTACCCTTACAGCTTCCTTTACAAACGGAGGTTTCACCGACATAACACCTGCTGAGGAGAAACCCGAGATAATGGAGACTGTCATCGCAGACCAGGGGTCAGAGGTCAACGATGACATCAGACTGTAGGGGCGGACACTATGGTTATAAATTTAATACTGAAAACTAAAATTTCACCATAATGCAAATTTAGCTAGACCTCAATTTATTTGTTCCTTTTCTTCAAAATATATATTTAGGGAAAATTGTATGAAGCACGCCATCTTTTCTATTAGATTTATTTATATGTGATAAAAAAAATGATACAATTCTTGGCCTACAATTTCTTTGTCTTTCAATACATTCTAGATGACAAGATGAGATTCCTGATGTCCATGACACTTTTATATTGTTATGTACTGTATTAATTTTTGACTATTGAATGTTTTTTCTGTAAACTCTGTACATAGAATTGAAGATGTCACTCATATTTTTGTAACAGGCAGGTGAATTGTATTTTAATTTATTGACACCAAAGAGATTACTTTTCATGAAAATTTTGAAATTTTCAGACAAAATATTGCTATATGTTGAACATTTATGTGATCAAGATTGATTTTCCCTTTCTTCTAATTTTGATACAACAGAATTTAAATCATGATGTTAATAATTGTACACATTCAGTGTAAAAAAAAAAAACCTTTAAATTTAAAATCCTGCTCCAGTTGTCTTGTACATATCACATTTTCCACATACATATGTATATTTTTCTGTGTAAAATAGATTTACAGTAAAACTTGGATATAAAGAACTTCTGTTTCACACAATTCAGGAATTTTTTATTTTTAAGGAACTTTTTTGAATTCTGAAGAGGACCTTTCATTATGTTTCAAATGATTTAATACATCTTTTATTAGAAAGCAAATTTCAAGGTCCCATCTACTTCATTATAACCAAGTTTTACTATAAATCATTCTTTTATGGTTGAATCATAATTATGTAGTACAATTATAATTTTTGATCAGGGTATTTATTATGCAAAGATTTATTTGGGAAAAAAAGCTTTCTTATATATTTTTTAGTGTTACTTATACTGGTTAGTAAATTTTGCTTCTTTCAAACTTCTTAAAAAACTACTTGAAGCTTGCTGAATGCATAATACTTGTACATATTTGCAAGAAATAATTAAAAAAAAAATGTTTAAGATTTATGAGGTTGTGACTTTTTTTATCATAAAAATTATGTGTATACTAGGTTAGTGCTTTTCTGTTCTGTGTATTTTGTTGTAAACATTTATTTTTAAAAGTTATATCAAATGGCAGTTTGAAATTGCTATTTTGTGTGAATATTAATATAATGAATGTATATTTGTTTTGAAAATAGAGTATATTTTCACAAAATTCTTCATGTATTTGTCATTATTTTAAATGGCAATTTGTATTGAAAAAAAAAATTGCCATATTTGTCAAGGTAATGATATATATGTTTCTCCATCACCCATATATATATCTACATACTTTCAGATTATTATGATGCATCATAGCCTTACTGTTCCTCAGAAAGAAAGCTATTAGAAGTTAAGAAGATTTTTCTCTATGAAGTCTCTTAGCTAATGGTCCCTCTATATTCCCCCAAAACCTGATTTACACAGTTTACAATGAGAATTTAGTTATTTGCACAATTCCAAAGGAAGATTCCACTCCCTTTCAGCTTTTCCTTCTCAAGGAATCATTCATAAGGATAAATTACACAAACATTTTTCTTCCAATACTCTTAAAAATATATTTGCAAGTAAATGCCTCTCTTGCTTATTATAAGTAATGGCATTTGTTTCATGAAACAGCTTCTTGTTTGGCCAAGTCTCATAAATTGGAGATACATATATGTTAAGGTACAACTTTACAGTTTGAAATTTGAGAAATGTACGGAATTATCTTATTTCAGAGTTTTTAAAGAGATGTTTTCTTCAAGTCTGTATTTTTTTTTTAATACAAAAAAATTTCTTTATGTAAGTATAACCATAAAGACTCCACTGAAGTGGCATAATAAAGTAAAAACAAACCCTTTTCTTTTAAAGTTTATAATTTTTATTTTAAAACCTTGATTGAAAATTGTTAACATCATGATGCTTGAAAAAAAAATTCAAACATTCAAATATTTCTTTGCGAGTCATGCATGCACAAAAATTGATGTAGCTGATGAACATAAAATTGCACATTGTAGTAACTATAAATCACACATAAAATACAGAGTATTGGGTTTTTTTTTACGAGAAAAATATACCAGGTAATTAGCCAAAAATTTATACCCTGCTTGACACTGATTAAAAGAGTTTTTTTGTAATCTCAACCATTTTGCTGAAACTTCTTAAAACAATATTAGCTGCAACTTTGATGTCGTAATTTTTTGTTCCAAAAATGTAAATAACTTTTTCAATGACAGAAAAAAATAATGTTAATAAACATTCGTGCTTGTTCAAACAATCACATGAACATCAACAAAACATGCAGAGTATTCCTAGAAATCCCCAGCGATCCTTAAGTTGTACCCCTACACCGCACTGTCCCCGGTAACATACAGGAATATCTTGGACACGGCCGTCCCTGTGTAGCGGGACCGGAGGTCAGTGATCCTCATCTTCAGCTCTAGCTCCACGTCCTGGGGGCCAGGGATTCGATAGTTCAAGGACACCACGGCTTGGGCAGAATTTTGAACTTTGAGGTCAAAGTATCCCCTGTTGACGGCCATGACCCCTGATTTGAGAGGTCGAGCATCGATGACCTTTAGATCCCAAGCAAACTGTTTTTGAGATGTCTGGGGTCCTGACATGGCAAATAAATCGGTTGGAATCTTGATGTTGGAAGGGAATGAGAGAAAGTTGTAGGATAGAGAGATAGGGGCTGTCAGACACTGAACATCTCCTCTCTGGCAGGTAAAGGATGTACGCTTACATCTTACACTGAAAGGAAAATCAATGACATGAAATACCTATAAAGCGTTAAAGCCTCTATCTTTAAGATATTTCTTATAATCCACACTATGCCCCTATTGGACAAAAGAAAAAACAGGGGTCAGATACAAATTAATGATACTATAATAAGGGGAAATACTGTAAAACAACTTTTATTCGTGTGCGAGAAATTTTTGCAAGGTTCGCGAGAGCCTCGTCATTGCGAATATTTCTCGCCACAAACTGGTCTTAAAAGTCTCTGTGTCTATTAACAAAAGTTTTTTAAAAAAAAGGCTTGGTCGCAAAAATTTACCATCGCGAACTACTTTACAACTGGTAAATCATGAAATAAAGTTGTTGCAAATAAATGTTGCATGGTTTACAGTACATTGTATATCATCAATTCAAGGTCCATTTGCTTTTTATAATTAAGAAAAATTCTGGTATGCTATGAAGAAATAAGAAAGGCCAACTGGTTACCTGTTTCTGCGGGGTCCTACAGGGGTCCTGACAAAGCCCGGGGGGCAGGTCACCTGGGGACATTTATAGCTCCCCCTGGTGTTGAAGCACATTGACTCGGGGGCTGTACAGCGATATGTGCCCTCAGCACACTCATCAATATCTGCAGAATTTTATATAACTGAGAATGCTAGTTCCTAACAAGATCGATCTTTTTTTTTTCATTTTCATAAACATTGTTACAGTATTAATTCATACGACGCAAGACAAATCAGCATTTTACGGTTATTGTTAGTTTGAAAGTCAGACTGGCACATTGAATTTCTTGAGAACACATTAAAAACTGACCTTGACATGACCTTCCTCCTCCGAGAGTCCTCCAGCCCTCGGGACAGGTACACATGTAGGACCCCGGGGTGTTAATACAGGCTCCTCCACAAACCCGGCCCCTCAGAGAGTAGGACTGGCACTCGTCTATATCTGTAATGTACAGGGTATACTTAGTTATTAAACATACTGCAAGATTACAAGCAGTAATCTGCTCTCTATAACAAGGAAAAATACAGAAATTGTAATCAATTATTTACCTGAACAGGTGCGTTTGTCTGGGTTGAGTTTGTAGCCTGACCTACATGTACACTCAAAGGATCCCACAATATTGACACAGTTTTGTTCACAGACATTTCTGCCTTCACATTCATCAATATCTGGAAAAAAAATGTTAAAATTGACATACATTCACTATTCATCTTCCTAAGCACTATACCTGTGTAACACCTGTAAATATGCATTTGAAATACCTTGATTACCTTCATGTCTTACCTTTGCCTCTAAGGTCTAGACTTTAATTCACTTGTAAATTTGAAGATGTTATACATTCATGAGTCAACATACCAGATACCTTCAAAAGTCCTGCCCCTGGAATCTATACCTGTATTACACATGTAAAAATTAACACAACATACCTTCAGAAGTCCTTCAATGTTGACTTTATCTGAGCTACACCTGTAACAAGCAGGTGACATACCTACACGTCCTGCCCCTGGCGTCTATACCTATGACACATTTGTACACATGGCATACCTTCACATGTCCTGCACCTGTACACAAGATGTGACACATGTACACATCCAGAACCTCACAGCCCTATACCCCTATGTTACAGATGTGACACACATGTAATAATGAAATACCTTCACACACCCTACCCCTGTAGTCTATAGATGTGACACATTTGTACACATGAAATACCTTCACAAGTCCTGCCCCTGGAGTCTATAGATGTTACACATATGTACACATGAAATACCTTCACACGCCCTACCCCTGTAGTCTATAGATGTGGCACATATGTACACATGAAATACCTTCACACGCCCTACCCCTGTAGTCTATAGATGTGACACTTATGTACACATGAAATACATGTACCTTCACACGCCCTACCCCTGTAGTCTATAGATGTGACACTTTTGTACACATGACATACCTTCACACGCCCTACCCCTGTAGTCTATAGATGTGACACATTTGTACACATGACATACGTTCACACCACCTACCCCTGGAGTCTATATATAGATGTGACACATTTGTACACATGATATACCTTCACACGTCCTGCCCCTGGAGTCTATAAGTGTGACACATTTGAACACATGAAATACCTTCACATGTCCTGCCCCCCTGTAGTGTATAGATGTGACACATTTGTACACATGATATACCTTCACATGTCCTGCCCCCCTGTAGTCTATAGATGTGACACATTTGTACACATGACATACCTTCACACGTCCTGTCCCTGTAGTCTATAGATGTGACACATTTGTACACCTGACATACCTTCACATGCCCTGCCTCTGGAATCTATACCAGTGACACATTTGTACACCTGACATACCTTCACACGCCCTGCCCCTGGATTCTATACCTGTGAGTGGCTGTGACACATTTGTACACATGACATACCTTCACACGACCTGCCCCTGAGTACAGTCCCTGGGTTACAGTTACATTTGTAACTACCAGGCGTGTTCTCACAAACTCCATTGTACGGACAGATGTTACCAAATGCACACTCGTCTATATCTGTAATAAAAGCAGCATTTCCAAATCAAAGTAATTTTTTAAAATTGAAATACATGTAAGTTGTGTACAAAAAACATTGTTTCAGAAAAGAAAGAAAGTTTTATCAATGTTTTTTTTCATGGTATTGATTGCTTTAATGATGGCCACACCTGTTTACTGCTTACTCTTTTTCAGGCTGAAGCTTACATAAAGGCCATTTTTAAAAAAAACAGCATAGAAGTTAAAACAGCCTGTTGTGGTTAGCCTTTTCATTGCAAGACATACTCTCTTGATAACAGGCAAGATCCTCCTATAAGAGTATCTTAAAACATTGCTGTGACGTCAAGCCTTTGTTCTTATATAACTTTACCTGTAGCCGTCCGATAATAATAATTACCAGTCTGATAATATATTATCACAGCACGCAGGTTAAAATGGCTGTTGTGGTAAAAAACAAAAAGAAGAGTGAAATTTTGATAAATATGCAGAAACCCCCAATAAAAATGTTATCAAAAAAAGGAAAACCAAACTGACAAGGAAATTAAGTTGACACGCAAATCCTGAAGAGAAATGTTTAAACCTTCCACAACATTAATACTTTCCACTCTTTAAAAAAAATCACTTTTAATCGAATTTAAATCCCGAAAAAAGATTCCACAGTTTGTTACTTTCCAAAACTTAAGCCTAGGGTAAAAATCCGCATTTTACTTTCCATGGTGATGGTTAAAACACATTTTCCTGATCACTCTGACAATTATGGACTCCTCTGGAACACTCATCAATGTCTGATAAACACAAGGCAATGATGCTCAAAATTTTATTCAAAAACTCCTGAATTTACACAATTAAAAATTAATATGTATAGGAAGTCTTATAAAGAGAAAAGTTGAATGTCAGCTGACAGTCACATGTTACCTTGGAGATGACCTTTTACCTATACAGGCCTTGGTGACGGGGTCAATTTGATGACCCTGAGGACAGGAAGTGCTTGGTATACAGCGGTACGATCCGTAGGTGTTGACGCAGCGAGCTGAGGCCGGACAGATCCCGGGCTGCTGACACTCATTTATGTCTGTACACAGAAGAAATAGAATATATATGTAGTATCTTTTAAAGCAAATCTCTAATATATTTAATTATTACATCCAGTATTTCACACAGAGGAAAATAAAGCTATAAACATGATAAAAGTATTTTAAAGAAATAAATAAATGCTCAGAAAAAAATTATCTACAGTATTCCTGTCTTCTTTTGTCCAGTTCAGTTTCATCAGACAAACAAAACAACATCATTTAAACAGTAACTTTTATAAATGATTGTTCCCTACATTCAGAACAATACTGTGGAATGTGATAACATACCAACACACATCCCATTAGAGTCTGGTTCCCTGCCCCGGGGACACTGTATGGGCTCACACTGGCCGGTGGAGGAGGAGAAGCGGTGCCCTCTCTGACACGTGGGCTTCTGACATCGGAACGTACCGTCCATGTTAAAGCAATCATAACCAGAGGGACAGTTGTGTGTGCCCAGCAAACACTCATCTATGTCTGAAATTACACATTTACATGATGCTAACTTCTGAAACTTAATAAATACCATAGCTCTGTGCTTGTCTGAAATTACATCAAATGTTTACAATGTTTGTCAAACATTGAACCTTGAACATTCATATTTTAAAGACTTTAGTAAAAGTCATATTTCTTTAGTCTTTTAGCCTTGATATTACGAATTCTCCAATAGGGTCCCAAGATGTTTGAGATCAAAGAGGTTTGTTTGCACCTATAAGAATAGAAAAGTTTCCTTTGCAATGTATAGCCCAGATTCTCCTTGACTGTGTATTGTTATAGTTTAAATTTTGAGACCAGAATCTCCCTGCGTATCTTTACAGGTTTGAGTTTGAGACCAGAATCTCCCTGGCATACCTTTACAGGTTTGAGTTTGAGACGAGAATCTCCATTTGTACCTTTACAGGTTTGAGTTTATAGAGACCAGAACATCCCTGCGTACCTTTACAGGTTTGAGTTTATAGAGACCAAGATCTCCCTGTGTACCTTAAAGTTTACAGGTTTGAGTTTGAGACCAGAATCTCCATCTGTACCTTTACAGGTTTGAGTTTATAAAGACAAGAATCTTACTGTGTACATTTACAGGTTTGAGTGAGACCAGAATCTCCCTGGGACCTTTACGGGTTTGAGTTTATGGAGACCACAAACTCCTTACATACCTTTACAGGTTTGAGACCAGAATCTCCCTGCATACCTTTACAGGTTTGAGTTTGAGACCAGAATCTCCTTGCATACCTTTACAGGTTTGAGTTTGAGACCAGAATCTCCTTGCATACCTTTACAGGTTTGAGACCAGAATCTCCCTGCATACCTTTACAGGTTTGAGTTTGAGACCAGAATCTCCTTGCATACCTTTACAGGTTTGAGTTTGAGACCAGAATCTCCTTGCATACCTTTACAGGTTTGAGACCAGAATCTCCCTGCATACCTTTACAGGTTTGAGTTTGAGACCAGAATCTCCTTGCATACCTTTACAGGTTTGAGACCAGAATCTCCCTGCATACCTTTACAGGTTTGAGTTTGAGACCAGAATCTCCTTGCATACCTTTACAGGTTTGAGACCAGAATCTCCCTGCATACCTTTACGGGTTTGAGTTTGAGACCAAAACCTCCTTACATACCTTTACAAGTCTGAGTCTCCTCCATCATGGAGTAGCCTGTCCCACACCCTAAGATCCTCCTACAGACAAACGACCCCACAGTGTTCTCACACCTCTGGGAGGACAGACAGGTGTCTCTCTCAGTGGCACACTCGTCAACGTCTGTCAGAAAACAAGAAATATATTACCAATCAACTTACTGTATGTAAAATGTCTCATTAATCTCAGAAAACAATAAAGTGAAATCAATCAATCAACATAGCATAAAATGTCTAATTATGATTTAAGTACTGTATACAGGGTTATTTTGGCCCGTGTTATTTTCGACCTTTTGCACTTGCATACAATTTGCCTCATTTTACATTTGCTCAGTCATAATTATAAGTGTAATTTGAATACGCCCCGTTTTAAATTCGCCCAATCAAAAAGAGTGTGAAAATAAAACGGGGGCAAAAGTTTCCCTGTATACAGTATCTGAAAACAGAAGTAATTTTTTCTGTAATGATTGGAACAATAAATTGAATAAAATATCATTTAAACTAGAACTAAATAAACAACATAAACTGTTGATTTAGGCAAAAGAATTGACAGACAAATGGATGGATGGACAATATCAATCAACAGACTGGGTTTAAATCCAAATTAGGACTAAACTGCTTTAATCCTACTTATCAAATCCTAAAGAACACAAAATGTTTTCTTCACCTGCACATGACCCTGCCACTCTGTCGTAGAAGTAGCCGGTGGTGCAGCGTGGGACGGACCGACAGGCCTTAGAGACAGGGTCCACCTCCTGACCCTGGGGGCAGCGCCGGCATCTGTACGTCCCCTCCTGGTTATAGCAGCCCTGTCCCTGTGGGCAGGTGGCTGACCCAGAGGTGCACTCATCAATATCTGGGTATTAAAAAGGGTGTTAGGTATTAAAACAATCATCTACGAGGGCTGTTCAGAAATTATTGAGACAAATACATTTACTCCTTAAAGGACGGAGATAATTTCATGAAAATTCATCAATATCTTATAAAGAACGTCTAAAACACTTTAGCAAATTTTCAAATTCCTACGATAACTATATAAGGTTGTGTGAAGTAATAAATATGCATATGTCTATCAACCCGGAGCAGCCTCGCTATGTCATTTAACGTTACTTTAGCAGTAGATTGTTTCGACTGTGAAACAATCAGGAAGCGTTTGATACTTTTCCTTCTTTGTTATTACATATTAAATAACATTACAAAAATCAAAGTCTCTTTTTTTAAACTATTCTTTAAAAATGTATGCTGCTGCTACCCCATTCAAAAAATTTCATTTATCGGAAAGAACAACTTAGAATCATGCTGTGCAAATTTATATGTAAGGCGGGTAAATACCGTAACGATATCAATACTCTATGTAATAACTCATGGTCGTCCAGATCTTTTTATTCTACTCTTGTTTATTTAATTGCTAAAAAATGTATACCAAGGAAATAACAAACCCTAACACATCATTTTTTCCTCGTTGTTATTGTTTTAGCAGGTCGTTCAGTCTTGAAAAGAGTTCTGCATTGCGCTACACAAAATTTTAGGTATGCTGGCTGCTCCGCCCTTGACGTCAAAATCCATTTTTTCGTTGTTAACAGATTTCTCTACCGCGCTTAATTTTTTTATGCTCTCCGTATTTCTGATCATATTTCTATCAAAGTTGTACAACATGAATTTGAACCAAAGCTGAAAAATTATACACTTAAACTGAATTATTTTCGCACTCATTATTGATCCACGAAGGATTAGAATTTTGGGGTTTCATATTTTAAATGTCTGATTCCGAAACTGCTCCGGGTACCCCTACTACTGACACATTTATATACCATTGTAGAGAAAATATTTAATATTTGTAAAATATTTCTTGCTCTTATTAATTTTTAGTGTAATGTCAAACGTATATGCCAATTTGCACTAAAAGACGTTCATTAGAAAGCAAAATATACACAATGTCTCAATAATTTCCGAACAACCCTCGTATACCTGTTATCCTTGGATATGTCACTTTTACATTTACATGTTCTAAATCACTTTGAATTAATAAAAAAAAATACATTAAATAAACTAACAAAATTAATGTGAAATTAGTTGAAATCACCATATGATTCCTACAACACACAGAAATCTGAGGTACTAACTGACCTTGACAGTTGATGCCGTCTGCCAGTAGTTGGTATCCTTGGTTACAGGCACAGCTGACCCCATTCTCGTCCTCGACACACCGCTGCTGGCATGGGTTATACCTGTCACAACCGATAGCTAAAATAAAGAAAACAGGTTGTACCTGTCACAGCTGATAGCTAAAATAAAGAACAGGGGTAATACCAGTCACAACCGATAGCTAAAATAAAGAAAACAGGTTGTACCTGTCACAGCTGATAGCTAAAATAAAGAACAGGGTTAATACCAGTCACAACCGTTAGCTAAAATAAAGAAAACAGGTTGTACCTGTCACAGCCGATAGCTAAAATAAAGAGCAGGGGTAATACCAGCCACAACCGATAGTTAAAATAAAGAAAACAGGTTGTACCTGTCACAACCGATAGCTAAAATAAAGAAAACAGGTTGTACCTGTCACAGCTGATAGCTAAAATAAAGAACAGGGGTAATACCAGTCACAACCGATAGCTAAAATAAAGAAAACAGGTTGTACCTGTCACAGCCGATAGCTAAAATAAAGAGCAGGGGTAATACCAGCCACAACCGATAGTTAAAATAAAGAAAACAGGTTGTACCTGTCACAACCGATAGCTAAAATAAAGAAAACAGGTTGTACCTGTCACAGCTGATAGCTAAAATAAAGAACAGGGGTAATACCAGTCACAACCGATAGCTAAAATAAAGAAAACAGGTTGTACCTGTCACAGCCGATAGCTAAAATAAAGAACATGGGTGCTACCTGTCATAACCGATAGCTAAAAATAAAACACGGATTGTACCTGTCACAACCAATAGCTAAAATAAAGAACACAGGTTATACCTGTCACAGCGGATAGCTAAAATGATATAAGTTCTGAGAAATACTTTTTCAAGGTCTGAGATTAGCAGTTTGCCTGTGATTCAGCAGAGAACAAGTGGAAACATTTTCTATAATACTGTATCTGAACAAATGTCTTTATATGTCATGTACTATAACACATTTATGATGTATATATTATATATTTTCAATCTAAGACGTACGTTCATCCTCAATACAGGTACTGCCATCAGAGTGTAGCGTGTATCCAGAGTTACACTCACAGCGGTAACTACCGACCGTGTTCACGCAGATCTGTCCACAAATATGGCCACTGTGGAGCGCACACTCGTCTATATCATTTACTGCTGTTGTACCTAGGACGTGAAAATTATATTTAACTTCATAAGTTTAGGCTCTGCTGGAATTTTTAATGTACAAGTGGCTGAAAAAATGCATCAGAAGTTTGTTTGTGGGGAGAACATATTTTGGTGAAATCTTTATTTAAAATTACAGTAAATTACTCCAACATACTATATAAGTAGAATTTTAAGTGAGGATTTAATTTTGGCATTATTAGCGAGGGTGCTGACATTGCTAAAATTGAATATCGCTAAAAATTAATTGCTTGTTATTTGTAATAGCTTCTTTAGTTAGTATTTTAAAATGTTAAAATTACTTCTCGCTAAAATAAAATACCTGATTTTGGATAGAAATCGCTAAATTTGCGTCTCGCTAAAATTTCCACTTATACGGTATAAATTTCCATCTTTACGATATAATCTTAAATCTGTGGAAATGTTGTTAAAAAAAGATACAGTACAAACATTTTTAAAATCATGTTACAAGAAATATTTGAAAGTTTCACAACAAGTCTCACATAGAATATGCTATGAATGATATATTAATTTGGTTTACTATAACACTGAGTGATAGGGAATAAGCCTTACTGTTAAGTGCAGATGTCCCCAGGCAGCACTCCTTAAACATGGCATCACAGGGTCCCCCAAAACTCTCCTTCTGAAGGAGGGAGCAGTCTCCACTCATCGACCGCGAGATCAGACCTAACTGACAGCAGTGGCAGCATTCCTAGTGAAAAAAGACATGAGATCAGACCTAACTGACAGCAGTGGCAGCATTCCTAGTGAAAAAAGACAACACTCCTAGTAAAGAGTAACAATAAATAGTGACAACATCCTGATAAAAAACAACAACACTCCTAATAAAAAAAGACACGAGATCAGCCATAACTGACAGCAGTGACAACATTCCTAATAAATAGTGACATCATAGTGATAACATTCCTGTTGAAAAAAAGACAACACTCCTAATGCAATCAACCATAACTGACTCAACATTCCTGAGAGTGACTAGTTGAACATCCCTTATAAAAACTGTCAAAATTCCCATTGTCATGAACAAATACCTGTTCAATAAAAAAAATACTAGTTTTTTTCCTCTAAAATCAACAACTAAGTGATTGAACAAATGGCTTTATCAGAAAAATCCTAAGTACAGCTATCACACATACTGACACTGTGTCAGTAACTTACTTTGTACAGCTATCACACACACTGACACAGTGTCAGTAACTTACTTTGTACTGCTATCACACATACTTACACAGTGTCAGTAACTCACTTTGTACAGCTATCACACATACTGACACTGTGTCAGTAACTTACTTTGTACAGCTATCACACACACTGACACAGTGTCAGTAACTTACTTTGTACTGCTATCACACACACTGACACAGTGTCAGTAACTTACTTTGTACAGCTATCACACATACTGACACAGTGTCAGTAACTTACTTTGTACAGCTATCACACACACTGACACAGTGTCAGTAACTTACTTTGTACTGCTATCACACATACTGACACAGTGTCAGTAACTTACTTTGTACAGCTATCACACATACTGACACCGTGTCAGTAACTTACTTTGTACAGCTATCACACATACTGACACTGTGTCAGTAACTTACTTTGTACAGCTATCACACACACTGACACAGTGTCAGTAACTTACTTTGTACAGCTATCACACATACTGACACAGTGTCAGTAACTTACTTTGTACAGCTATCACACATACTGACACAGTGTCAGTAACTTACTTTGTACTGCTATCACACATACTGACACAGTGTCAGTAACTTACGTTGTACTGCTATCACACTTACTGACACTGTGTCAGTAACTTACTTTGTACTGCTATCACACATACTGACACAGTGTCAGTCACTTACTTTGTACAGCTATCACACATACTGACACTGTGTCAGTAACTTACTTTGTACAGCTATCACACATACTGACACTGTGTCAGTAACTTACTTTGTACAGCTATCACACATACTGACACAGTGTCAGTAACTTACTTTGTACAGCTATCACACATACTGACACTGTGTCAGTAACTTACTTTGTACAGCTATCACACATACTGACACTGTGTCAGTAACTTACTTTGTACAGCTATCACACATACTGACACAGCGTCAGTAACTTACTTTGTACAGCTATCACACATACTGACACAGTGTCAGTAACTTACTTTGTACTGCTATCACACACACTGACACAGTGTCAGTAACTCACTTTGTACAGCTATCACACATACTGACACAGTGTCAGTAACTTACTTTGTACTGCTATCACACACACTGACACAGTGTCAGTAACTCACTTTGTACAGCTATCACACATACTGACACAGCGTCAGTAACTTACTTTGTACAGCTATCACACATACTGACACAGTGTCAGTAACTTACTTTGTACTGCTATCACACACACTGACACAGTGTCAGTAACTCACTTTGTACAGCTATCACACATACTGACACAGTGTCAGTAACTTACTTTGTACTGCTATCACACACACTGACACAGTGTCAGTAACTCACTTTGTACAGTAACTCACTTTGTATACTGCTATCACACATACTGACACTGTGTCAGTAACTTACTTTGTACAGCTATCACACACACTGACACAGTGTCAGTAACTTACTTTGTACTGCTATCACACACACTGACACAGTGTCAGTAACTCACTTTGTACAGCTATCACACATACTGACACAGTGTCAGTAACTTACTTTGTACTGCTATCACACATACTGACACAGTGTCAGTAACTTACTTTGTACAGCTATCACACATACTGACACAGCGTCAGTAACTTACTTTGTACAGCTATCACACATACTGACAGTGTCAGTAACTTACTCTGTACTGCTATCACACACACTGACACAGTGTCAGTAACTCACTTTGTACAGCTATCACACATACTGACACAGTGTCAGTAACTTACTTTGTACTGCTATCACACACACTGACACAGTGTCAGTAACTCACTTTGTACAGCTATCACACATACTGACACTGTGTCAGTAATTAACTTACTTTGTACTGCTCCGCTCCGAACACGTCGTCCCTGATGGCACACCTGCCGTAACTGGCGGCGTCTGACTTCCCGTTCTGACACTGGTCTCGCTGCTTCTGCTTCATACAGCACACCTTCAGGATAGACATACAGCTGGGCTGGTCCCCCGCCCTGACCCCCGGGACGGACTGGGAGTACCCCTCACAGGTGGAGGAGTCCGTGGCATACTTGGTCCCCTCCAGGCAGCAGGTCTCTAGTAGTACTTTGTCTATAGCAGCTGGAAAATACTAGAGGGACTACGTAAAGTGGCTTACAAAATTATACCCCCTGTGTTATATTGGAAGGGTTCATATTTAATTTTCTTAATGTGATGAAAAAGTTGGCAAAATGCTCTTGAATTAAACTGACACATGCTTGACGTATAATAATCTTTCACTTAAATGTGGATGTTTCTCTATTTAAAAAAATAGCAATGGTTTGAGATCGCTAATTGAATATCACTAACAATTCATTCCATCATTCCATAGAGGTTTAACCTTAAGCTTTACAATGCCATTACAAAATGGCACAATAGGCAATCTAATTGTAAGACAGACAGACTTATGAACAAGATGATTCTTATATATACCTCCCTTTGTGGGGGTATCATAAGAGACATTCATTGGGTCCCATTATTATAATTACAAAGCTCCACAGTGCTTCTGACCTACACAAGTGTGAGGAATTAGAGGCACGAGGACAACTAAGAATCCCACTTGACCTATTTACATGTACAAAACATGTACTCAATTTTTGCGCAAATGAATTTTTTTTTTATATTAAAAAAATGCATATAGCAAATGCGCTGGAACTGCTATCCATGGCTTGGCAAAGGAATTATTTTAAACATTAAACAACATGGTATTGTTTTTAATAAGATTGCAACAGCATACGTCTTATTAGTTATTATCATTTATTAATTTTTTGACAATTAAATCTTAGTAAACAAGCTAATTCAGAGAATTTGTGTCCCTCGCTTAGGGAAAAAGTAAGCTATGCTCAGTTCGGGGGAGGGAGGGGTGGTTCGGATCCCCTTGACTGAATTTGTAGAATTATTAAATATATACTCAGTCTGAAGCAAATAAGATATGCTAATATGGATATAAGGGTTTGATTGATTATTCTTTATTATGTGTGTAGAAGATTCTTTTTATAAGGAATATTTATCACACTGTAATGATGATTTTATGAGTTTGTACAAGCAAGACCTCATAAATTTTTCATTTCACATGCTGAATACATGTACTATCATTTAGTTAAAAAAAAGTATTTCGAAAAAAAATTGGATCATATGGGATGCGAACCCTGGCCTTCTCACATGTGAAGCAAGAAACATACCACTAGACCACGGAGCCGCTTAATCATGGTGAAAATTATATACAAACATTAAGTCAGATACATGCATATACTACTAAGTATTCACGTTTGATATATTGTCAAAATTTTACACAATATATGTGTCTAATTTAATCTTTATTAAACAGTTCTAATAGATGTACAAGAATATAAAGTCCGCCGAGAACCTGTTTTATACGAAATAACTCTCCTTGACATGCCCCTGTGCTAAAAATAGCGACATGTAATACGATAAATACTAACAAAACAAACGGGGCTGGACACTTTAAGAGGGGTGAGAGAGGTCCTATGGACTTTTGGTATAAAATTACATTGCAAAAGCTCAAAATCCTCTTGAAATATCGCCTGAAAATGATAGTGTTACACACAAACAGAATGTACACATTTATGACCTTGAACTTTGACCTTTTGACCTCAAAATCAATAGGGGTCTTCCTTAAGCCACAGGGAGTTGTTATGTAAAATTTCATTGCAAAAGCTCAAAGGGTTCTTAAGATATCGCTCGGAAACGAAAGTGTTATGACAGAATTTGCGAATTTATGACCTTTACCTTTGATCTTTTGACCTCAAAATCAATAGA